GTCATCAGGCCGAAGTCAGCCAAGGGACGGACAAGGCCGCGTCTCCACAAAACACAGGGCACAGAGGAGTGCACTCACCATACGCTTTCCTCTCCACCTCCAGCCAATCCCAGTGAGTCACCAAGCAGCCAGAAACTAGGAGCCTGCGCACCCACATCAGCAGCTCAAGGAGCCCCTGATGAGATCCCCGAGCTGCTGCAGCAAGTGCCCATTGGGGCTTCCTCTTCTCTCAATAAATACCCAGTCCTTCCTTCCATCAACAGAAGAAACCTCGAGAAGGGAGCTGTGGACACAGCTAAAAAGGCCAGCTTACTGCAACTGAGCAGCATCCAGGCCCGCTACCAAGAGGAGGCCTGCTCCAGGAAGACAAGCAGAGAAGATTGCAGGGCTCAAGCTCAAGTTTGTACCCTGGAGAGGAAATTCATCCTCCGAACCAAGAGGCAGGGTGCCTCCAGGCCTGGAAACCTGGAGGAACCTTCAGACCGAGAACCAAGGCTGCTGCTCGCTGTCAGGTCACCATCAGGCCAAAGGTTTGTCCGTCACTTCCGGCCGACTGACGACCTGGAAACGGTTGTTGCTGTGGCCGAGCAGAAGAACAAGGCCACCTATGGACACTGCAGCATCGAAACAATGGAGGTGCCCAGGAGACGGTTCTCTGATCTCACCAAGTCTCTGCAGGAGTGCGGGATCCCTCACAAGTCGGTGTTGGGCATCACAAAGGAAGAGTGGGAGGGGTGGCCCTGAGTCCCCAGCACCCGAGAGGAGTCCTGGGTCGCTGGGCAGTCAGCATACTTGGGTGCTGAGGCCTCCCAGGCATCCTGGTTCCAAGTGCCATGTGAGCCCAGTGCAGCTGGGATCCTTAGGACTTGACTCGGTGTCCTCTGAAGCCGTTACCTGCGCGTGTGCCGAGTGCCCTGGAAGGACTCCCAGCCATTACATTCAGGTCACCCCAGGGCTGCGGGTGGGTGCCAGGGCTCTTCCTGCAACAGCTGCAGCCAGGCCTTCTCCCTCCATAGCGTGGGGACCTTCCAAGACAGTGGTCCTTCCCGGAGCACCTGCTGCCCTTACAGTGAACTGATTCTGGAAGCCAGTGGTTTGCCTTTCTGTACTTGACCAGGATTAAACACTTTCAACAGAGGATTCGAGTCTGGTAAATAACCAGGGTTTAGGGAATATCTAAGTGGCATTTGTATTTTTATGTATCTTTGAGAAACACGTTGTTGACACTATCTTCAGAAGCAGCCCCTCTACTGGGCTGGGGAGGAGAGGACAGTCAGTCTCTTGGGGACTCCTGTTTGGTATAAGGTGACATCAAGGGGAAGAACAGTTCTCACACTAGTACATAGCCCCCCCAAATTTTTCTAAAGCAGTCCTGGCACTGAAGGGTAGGTTGTTCATGTGGCCGTGGATACATTTTTATAGACACTGACCAAGTTTGTGGCTTTGGGCAGCACTTCTCTTTGTGCAGAATTCTTCTAAAATTGAGACAAGCCAGTGTGACCTGATTTCCTTTACTTTTGTCTGTAAAGGAATCTGTCGTTTTCAAAACATACAGACTTATAAGTCTGTACAAGTTTGTACTCAGGGCCCCTTGGCCTACCTGAGTGTGGGTAAATTACTTTATTCCCCTAGTTTGGTGACTGGACCATTTCAGACACAGAAGATTCTTTCCACAGTGACAGCGCACGCTGTGGTCTGGTTTCATATACTGTGCGGGAGGAGGAGGGCACCTCTCTGGACATGTTTACTATCCTATGGGAGACCATGACCGCGCAGCTGGCTCACTGGCATGGCGTTCATCTGACCAGCCTAGCCCCAGCTGCCCTGAAGACTGTGGAGTCTTATTTTTCCAACTCTAAAACGGAAATGTAGAAAATTTGCCAAAGTTCTCCCACAACTCATCTGGATTCCTCAATGGCCAAATCACCATTCAGAGTAGGTACTCAGACCTTCTGGGCACCTTGTCCCTCCTCCCTAGAGCACAGCCATCACAAAGCCCTGGACACTAATACATG